GATATTTGATATTTTTTTGAACATATTTTACAAACATTATAACCAAATGCATTAGCTAGATTCTTATTAAAATACAACCACATACTATTACTTCCTAATGAAATATTTATCTTTAAATCTAAAGCCTGATTAGTCCCTGAAATATTACTAGCTGATTTATTAAGATTAATTTCGTTAAGGTTAATTACCCACTCATCTTCATTATCCTCAAATTGGTTAGGATTAAATTTATCACTACTTAATGTCCTTTTAGAAAAGGCTTCTTCTTTTTGTTCTACTATTTTAACAAAAAGAAGCGTGAGAATTATTTAGATTTTTTTTCGATAATTATTATTTTTAAAAAAAAATTGACATTACAAAATTATTATTTTAGCAATTGCCACTACAAAATTACTATTTTAAAAATAGCTGATACAAATATTATTATTACAAAAATTGGTGCTACAAAATTACTGATACAAAAATTGCCATTATTGATCAAAATTACTGTGCCACAAAAATTACAAGTCATAAATTTATTTTTTTATTTTTATCTTATTTATTTTTATCTTAAAATAACTAAATACTAATATTATAAATTTAAATAGAATTGACTCAAGAGAGTCAGTTCTCTTAGAATTGATTGTTCTGCTTTAATTCCTTAATTCGACTTAAAAGTAGAACTGATGTTTAGTTTTAAAACTAACTCTGAGTCGCTCCATTTAGAACTTTTTTCATCTCTAATTATTACCCAGATACAGCAGATCAGATTTTTTCAATTAGTCTGTGTGACTGATGCAGCAATGCTGTGTCAATCTTTTATTTTGCTAAAAAATTCCAAGTTTTTATTGCAACGTAGCAATTTTTGTAAAAAATTTGCTATTTTTCTGCACACAAGCGTAGTAATATTCTAATAAAATACTTTTAAGTATTTTTAATGCTTATATGATACTATTATTGCGTAACTTTTGCAATTTGCACACAATTAATTAAGTGTGACTGCTAAGAAATCCTTAATAATCAAATAAATTAATCAATGTATTACAAATAAAAATTATGTATTTGTATGCCTTTTAGGAACAATACTACATATTATGTTAATTTACACAAATTTCAGAACTACTTAACGTTAAACACCCAAATTTTGCATGGTTTTACCTCTTATTTATAACATTACATATGTTTAATTAATTAATATTGCACAAATTTAATACAAAGGAGAAATTTGTCACACGTATTATCAGAACTTCTCAAATGCAAATCACTGAACTGTGTAAACGTCAGAGCTACTTTTTTAGGATACTTTATAGAATATGTTAGCACGAGATTTGAGTAGATGTTGAAAGCTATTTAAAGATATTTAATGAGTCCTGTGTAAAGATTTCTTAACAAAGGTAATTTGATATAAAGTAACTGATTAATTTTCTGAATAATTTTGCTGCCATTGACTCTCGAACATAAATAGCTTACATCTTTGTTTTTTCATAAAACTTCTTTGTTTTTCAATGTACTCCAACTGAGTAAACCCTAACCCTAACCCAATATCTTGATAAAATGTAATTATAAGGTATATAAAAGGGAAGTATAACAAATTTTAGGATATTTATCACTTTATAATCATTTATTTTGTTTACATAATATACTATTAACTTTTTATTATATCTACTTCTGAAATATTCAACAAAATTCTTAATTTTTTATATAATTCATCTTCAAATCATATTATAGCTTTTTCTGTTATTTTTCAACTAATAGAATATGACAAGTGATATCTAAAAGAAGAACTGAGAGAAATAATTCATAATGTGATTAACAAGATAAAAAACCTTGGCCAACAAAATTCAGAAAAGTATCTGTAAATTGTTGATATTTATTTAATGATTAATAATTATTATTTTATCAAATTTATATTCCCAAATGATGATTGCGCTAAAAGATATCCTATAGTTAAATTAAGTGAATACCCATAGCTATGTAAGCATAGGTTTAAATTAATTGCATTAATTTTTTAGACATATAGAGGTAGAACTTGGTTCTGTGTTTATTATTTTATCAGATTTATATTCTCTAATGATGATTACTTAGAAAGATATTCTATAGTTAAACTAAACTAGTATCCATAGCCATGTGGGCACAGGTTTAAATTAATTGCATTAATTCCTTAGACACATAAGATAAAACTTAGTTTTAATTTATGAAGAAAAATAGATTATTCATGTATATTGTTAGTTATATGCAGGTCACATATGATTGATAATTTATATGAAATATTCAGATAGGAGTACGCATATATTTCTAATATTAAAATTTTTAATATAAATACTAATATATAAGATTTCTGTATTAGTTTGATAATACATATGAAGGTGTAAGCATTCTTCGAAATATTCAAAAATTACAACAAGAACTGCTTTCCAGAAATGAAATAGAGACAAACTTACATAAATTGAAAACTAATCTTGAAAAAAGTAATACTCTATATGCTTCCTATTTTCGTAAATATTTAAAGAAGAAAGGTATTTCTAAATTATTATAGAATATTCCAATTGCTAGTCAAGTAATATATGCAGATTCAAAAATAGTAAGAACTTTAAAAGTTGAAGAATATAACATTTTTATGGTGAGTAATTAACAAATATATCTTATTTAGTTGTAAAATACTTTTAGCAAACTGGTATTATATTAATTGATCTCATAGAAACTTTTAGAGCATATGAAAGTAACTACTCCAGCTCTCATAAGGAATATGTGTGAAATCTTTGTTTTAAATTTCGAAGATAGCATTACAAATATTCTAATAAATAGATTTATATATGATAATAGTTAGAAAGAATCTGACAAAAAACTAGTAAAAGTTACATCAGATATACTTGATATCTTATAAGTATTTTATGATAAAGCTTATGGTATAATGCAATATTACAATATTTATATTATTTTTTTTTTAAATAAAATTTCATTTAATGATATTTTTTATAGAAGAGATATTGAAAAAATCTTGCTTTTGAAACAAAACTTGTTAAGTCACAAAGTAAAAGGATGTATATAGCTAATATAATAGTTTATTAATTCAAGTATTATTAAAAAATCTTCTGATTAGAAAATCTGATTATATTTCTATAGCTGAATGACAAAGTATGGCTAGTAAAGTTCGAAGAGGAGTTAGAAAATAGCTAGATATTATGTTTATTACTAGTTTTTATAATAGAATATATAAATTAATTTATAATAAAAGTTCCCATATTATTTGTAATAAACAAAAAAAGGAAGATGATCAGGTAAAAACTTGGAGAGAGATGAATGATAGAATGTATTGGCTCACAAAGGATACAAATTAGAAAATAATAATTTTAGTATTATTGAAATCCAAGTTGCTAAAAATGAGATGCATCTAAATATCCTAATTTAATATATATATGAGATACATTGTCTCTACAATTTACGAACTGTTTAAATTCTAATTCAACTAAATGATAACTTGTTGAAACATTAATGATAATAGGGTTTATTAATAGTAAATCTTATTCAAATTTTATTTTACTTATTAAAAATTAATGTATTTTTATAATTACAGAATATATTATATATCAATCTATCATTATTATATTATGCTTCTTAAATTAGTTCAAATAGTAATATAGAAAATAGTTTTATAGTATCTTCTTCAAGACCATCATCAACACCAAAGATAAAAAAAAGAAAGTCTAGAAACTAATATTTACACTAGTCAAAATAGTCCAAATTGGCTAAAAATCAGATGACTGATTTTAAGCTAATTTTGATACTATTTACATCTGATTTACCATGTTTTTCGATCAACACAAACAGATGCTGATAAATGCTGATCAATCCCAATTAGACATGGCCATTCAGAACTTAAATTCAACCATAAATCAGCCTAAAACTGGTCTCAATTTGGTAACAATTCAGACGTTAACAGACGCTGATTTATTCCAATCAAACATAGTCATTTGATATCAATTCAGAACTTAAATAACTATAAGGATTCGTTGCCAGCAAAATCAAGGTCTGAGACCCATCCAATGAAATTTGAGATTTTAATTTCATTTTAATATGTTACATATGAACTTCATTTGGTTAAAAAATCATACCATATAATCATAATACAAAAACGAACACTTCAACTTTAAAGTTTTATTATTGAAAATTCTATAAATAAGTTTAAAAAATAGATATTTTATTGAGTTGTTGACTCAATGATTAAGTTTAATTATTTTATACTTTATAGATTCGCATGTATTTTTTTCTTTTTTTTCCTAGTTCATTATTTAATTATTTCCATTTTATTGTTTTGCCGCTTGGTTGTTTAACAACCAATTATTATTTTCTATTTTTTAGATTTTGGGCTCTTCGGCTGGATCCAAGGCAGTAAGTTCGTTCATTTCATTTTGTTTCTTTGCTTCGTTTCATTCTTTTGCTTAGTTGTGATTAACAACCAATTTCTTTTTTTTTTAGATCTTTAGGCTCTTTGGCTGGATCCAAGGCGGTAAGTTGGTTTGTTTTATTTTCTTCTTTGCTTCATTTTTATTCTTTCACTTGGTTGTTCATAAATAACCATTTTCTTTTTTTTTTAGATCTTTGAGCTTTTCAGCTGGATCCAAGGTGATAAGTTCGTTCGTTTTATTTTCTTTTTTGCTTCGTTTTTATTCTTTCGCTTGGTTGTAATTAACAACCAATTTCTTTTTTTTTTTTTTAGATTTTGGGCTCTTCGGCTAGATCCAAGGCGGTAAGTTTGTTCATTTTGTTTCTTTGCTTCATTTTTATTTTTTCGCTTGGTTGTTGATTAACAACCAATTTCTTTTTTTTTTAGATCTTTGGGCTCTTTGGCTGGATCCAAGGCAGTAAGTTCATTCGTTTCATTTTCTTCTTTGCTTCGTTTTATTCTTTTACTTGATTGTTGATAAATAACCATTTTCTTTTTTTTTTTTAGATCTTTGGGCTCTTCGGCTGGATCCAAAGCGGTAAGTTCGTTCATTTCATTTTCTTCTTTGCTTCATTTTTATTCTTTCGCTTGGTTGTGATTAACAACAAATTTCTTTTTTTTTTAGATTTTAGGCTCTTCGGCTGGATCTAAGGTGGTAAGTTCGTTCATTTTGTTTTCTTCTTTGCTTCATTTTTATCTTTCACTTGGTTGTTGATTAGCAACCATTTTCTTTTTTTTTTTATCTTTGGGCTTTTTGACTGGATCCAAGGCGGTAAGTTCGTTCATTTCATTTTCTTTGCTTCGTTTCATTCTTTCGCTTGGTTGTTGATTAACAATCATTTTCTTTTTTTTAGTTCTTCGGCAGGCTCAAAACTTGATTTGAGAATGCACAAAATGATAAATTTTTTTTAATTTACCAAATAAATGTTAATTCAAACAATCAAATGTTGATTGGCGTAAGTGAAAATGCATAAATTTTTTTTAATTTTCCAAATAAATGTTAATTCAAATAATTAAATGTTGATTGGTGTAAGTGAGAAGAATGCACAAAATAATAAATTTTTTTAATTTACCAAATAAATGTTAATTCAAACAATCAAAAATTGATTGGCGTGAGAGAAAATTAAGAGAAATGTTATCAAAATGCATGTAAATTTTAAAATTTTTTTTTAATTTATCAAATAAATGTTAATTATAGAATTAATTGACGAGAGAGAATGTCATCGAACATGTAAATTACCAAATAAATGTTTTAATTCTAGAATTCAAAAATAACAATGTAATTTTAATTTAC